GGAGCTGCTGCAGCCCCCCCGCAGCCCCCCCCCACCCGGACCCCCCCTGCCGCCCCCCGGAGCCGCCTGCGGTGAGCCCGGGGCACTGGGAATACTGGGAGGGACTGGGAATACTGGGGGGGACTGGGAATACTGGGAGGGACTGGGAGGGACTGGGAATACTGGGAGGGACTGGGAATACTGGGAGGGACTGGGAATACTGGGGGGGACTGGGAATACTGGGGGGGACTGGGAATACTGGGAGGGACTGGGGGGGACTGGTCCATACCGGTCCATACTGATCCATACCAGTCCGTACTGGTCCATACCGGTCCGTACTGGTCCATACTGGTCCGTACTGGTCCATACTGGTCCGTACTGGTCCATACCAGTCCGTACTGGTCCATACTGGTCCATACTGCTCCGTACCATTGCATACTGATCCATACCAGTTCATACTGGAGCACACTGGTCTGTACTGGTCTGTACTGGTCCATACTGGTCCTTACTGGTCTGTACCAGTCCTTAGTGGTCCACAGTGGTCCATAGTGATTCATACTGGTCCTTACTGGTCAGTACCAGTCCATACCAGTCTGTACTGGTCCATACTGGTCCATACTGGTCCATACTGGTCCATACTAGTCCATGCTGGTCCATATTGGTTCATACTGATCTGTACTGGTCCCTGCTGTTCTGTACTGGTTTATACTGGTCCATACTGGTCTCTACTGGTTTATACCAGTCCATACTGATCCTTACTGGGCCATACTAGTCCCTACTGTTCTGTACTAGTCCATACTGGTTCATACTGGTCCATACTGGTCCATACTGGTCCCTACCATTCCCACTGTTCTGTACTGGTCCGTACTGGTCCATACTGGTTTATACTGGTCCGTACTGGTCCATACTGGTTTATACTGGTCCATACCGGTCTGTACTGGTCCCTACTGGTCCATACCGGTCCATCCCGGTCCGTTCCGGTCCGCTCCGGTTCTCACCGCTCCGTTCCGGTCTGTACTGGTTTATACTGGTCCATACCAGTCTGTACTGGTCCCTACTGGTCCGTACTGGTCCATACCGGTCCATACCGGTCCATACCGGTCCGTTCCGGTTCTCACTGCTCCGTTCCAGTCTGTACTGGTTTATACTGGTCCATACCAGTCTGTACTGGTCCCTACTGGTCCATACCGGTCCATACCGGTCCGTTCCGGTTCTCACCGCTCTGTTCCGGTCTGTACTGGTATATACTGGTCCGTACCGGTCCATACCGGTCCGTTCCGGTCCGTACTGGTCCATACCGGTCCATTCCGGTTCTCACCGCTCCGTTCCGGCCGGCAGAGGCGCGCGAGTGCGTGAACTGCGGGGCCACGGCGACGCCGCTGTGGCGCCGGGACGGCACCGGGCACTACCTGTGCAACGCCTGCGGGCTGTACCACCGGCTGAACGGGCACAACCGGCCCCTCATCCGCCCCAAGAAGCGCCTGGTGAGCCCCGGACTGACCGGGACCCCGAGTCTGACAGGGACCCCGAGTCTGACAGGGGACCCCGAATCTGACCGGGACCCCGAAATCTGACAGGGACCCCGAGTCTGACAGGGACCCCAAAATCTGACAGGGACCCCGAAATCTGACAGGGGACCCCGAGTCTGACAGGGGAACCCGAGTCTGACAGGGGACCCCGAATCTGACAGGGGACCCCGAATCTGACAGGGGAACCCAAAATCTGACAGGGGAACCCCAAAATCTGACAGGGAACCCCGAAATCTGACAGGGAACCCAAATCTGACAGGGGAACCCCAAAATCTGACAGGGGAACCCAAATCTGACAGGGGAACCCCGAAATCTGACAGGGGAACCCAAATCTGACAGGGGAACCCGAATCTGACAGGGGACCCCGAATCTGACAGGGGAACCCCGAGTCTGACAGGGGACCCCGAAATCTGACAGGGGACCCTGAAATATGACAGGGGACCCCAAAATCTGACAGGGGATCCCAAAATCTGACAGGGGACCCCGAGTCTGACAGGGGACTCCGAAATCTAACAGGGGAACCCAAATCTGACAGGGGACCCCAAATCTGACAGGGGAACCCCAAAATCTGACAGGGGAACCCCAAAATCTGACAGGGGAACCTGAAATCTGACAGGGGAACCCCGAAATCTGACAGGGGAACCCCGAATCTGACAGGGGAACCCAAATCTGACAGGGGAACCCGAAATCTGACAGGGAACCCCGAGTCTGACAGGGGAACCCCGAATCTGACAGGGGAACCCAAAATCTGACAGGGGAACCCCGAATCTGACAGGGGAACCCCGAAATCTGACAGGGGAACCCCGAATCTGACAGGGGACCTCGAAATCCACCCGGGAACCCCGAAAACCACCCAGGAACCCCAAAATCAGCCAGGGGAGCCCCAAAATCCACCTGGGAACCCAAAACCCGCGAGGGAACTCCCAAACCCTCCGGGACCCCAAAATGTACCCAGGAACCCCGAAACCCGCCAGGGAACCCCAAAATCTGACAGGAACCCCGAAATCACCTCAGGGACCCAAAAATCACCTCAGGGGACCCCAAAATGGACATGGGAATCCCAAATCACCTCAGGGGCCCCAAACCCGCAGGAGACCCCAAAACCCACTGGGGAATCCAAAACCGCCGGGGGACCCCCGAACCCGCGGGGGACCCCAAAATGAACAAGGGAATCCCAAATCACCTCAGGGACCCCGAATTGACTCAGGGACCCCCAAATACACCTGGGGAACCCCGAAATGCATCAGGGAACCCCCCAAATCCACCAGGGATCCCCAAAGTCACCTCAGGGACCCCGAAATCGCCTCAGGGACCCCAGAATGTGCTGGGAAAGTCCAAAAGGCACCAGGGAACCCCAAAATCACCCCAGAGACCCTAAAATGGATATGGGGATGCCCAAAATACACCTGGCACCCCAAAATTGCCGTCCGTGCACCCCCAAATCCACCCCAAACCCCTCCTCGCACCCCCAAATTCACCCCAAACCCCTCCTCGCACCCCCAAACCCATCCCAAACCCTCTCTGCTCCGCCCCAGTGCCCCCCAAATCTCGGGGTTCACTGAACCCAAACGTCCCCGGCCCCATTTTTTGGCAGCTGGTGAGCAAACGCGCCGGCACCGTCTGCAGCAACTGCCAGACCAGCACCACCACGCTGTGGAGGCGCAGCCCCCGCGGGGACCCCGTCTGCAACGCCTGCGGGCTGTACTACAAACTGCACCGGGTGAGGGACCCCAAAAACCACCCCAAAATACCCCAAACTACCCCAGAAATATCCCCAAAATACCCCAAACCCCGTCTGCAACGCCTGCGGGCTGTACTACAAACTGCACCGGGTGAGGGACCCCAAAAACCACCCCAAAATACCCAAAAATATCCCCAAAATACCCCAGAATATCCCTAAATATACCAAAAATATCCCAAAATATCCCGCAGGTGAACCCCAATTCCCCCTGAACCCCAATTTCCCCTGAACCCCAATTCCTCCTGAACCCAAATTCCCCCAAACCCCGACCCTCCCCCTGAACCCCAACTCCCGCAGGTGAACCCCGATTCCCCTGAACCCCAATTTCCCCTGAACCCCAATTCCCCTGAACTCCGATTCCCGCAGGTGAACCCCGATTACCCTCAACCCCAATTTCCCCCGACTCCCGCAGGTGAACCCCAATTCCCCCCTGAACCCTGATCCCCCTGGACCCCAATTTCCCCCCTGCACCCCGACTCCCACAGGGAACCCCAATTTCCCCTGAACCCCAACTCCCGCAGGTGAACCCCGATTTCCCCCTGCACCCCAATTTCCCCCCTGAGCCCCAATTTTCCTGAACCCCGATTCCCGCAGGTGAACCCCGATTCCCCTTAACCCCAATTCCCCCCCTGAACCCTGACTCCCGCAGGTGAACTCCAATTCCCCTGAACCCCAATTTCCCCTGAACCCCAATTCCTGCAAGTGAACCCCAATTTCCCTGAAACCCAATTCCCCTGAACCCCAATTTCCCCCCCTGAACCCCGATCCCCCCGTACCCCAATTTCCCCTCTGCACCCTGATTCCCGCAGGTGAACCCCGATTCCCCTGAACCCCAATTCCCCCTGAACCCCGATTTCCCCCAACTCCCGCAGTGAACCCCGATTCCCCCCAACTCCCGCAGTGAACCCCGATTCCCCTGAACCCCGATTCCTCTGAACCCCGATTTCCCCCGACTCCCGCAGGTGAACCGCCCGCTGACGATGCGCAAGGACGGCATCCAGACCCGCAACCGCAAGGTCTCGGCCAAGGGCAAGAAGCGGCGCCAGGGGGGGGGCGCCGGCCCCGGGGGGGTCCCCGAGAGCTCGGCGGGGCCCCCCCTGCCCCCGCCCGCGCCCCCCCAGCCCCTGCCCGAGGACCCGGCCGCGCTCTTCGCCCTGGGGCCGCTCGTCCTGTCGGGGCACCTGCTGCCCTTCCCCCCCGCCCCCGCCGGGCCCTTCCTGGGGGGCGACTTCGCGGTGCCCCCCGGGCCCGTCGCGGCGCCCCCCGGGCTGGGCCCGCAGCTCTGAGGGGCCCGGAGCCGCGCGGGAGCGAGCGCGGCCGGCTCGCGCCTGCCTCTTGGGGAGGGGGGGCACTGGGGGGTGTGCCCCCCCTGCGGGGCGGGGGCGGGGTTGGGGGGAACCACGGAAATCCCGATTAAAGGTGCTCCCCCACCGTGGACGCCGCGTGGTTGGTACCAAGATGGCGGCTTCCGTGGGGCACAGCCAACATGGCGAACATCATGGCACGGCCAAGATGGCGGCCTCCATGAGCACACCCAACATGGCAGCGCCATGAGCACCCAACATGGCGACCATCATGGCAAAGCCAACATGGCGGCCCCATGAGCACACCCAACATGGCGGTGCCATGACCACACCCAACATGGCAGCCATCATGGCACACCCAACACGGCGGCCCCATGAGCACACCCAACATGGCGGTCCCCATTAGCACACCCAACATGGCGACCCCCATGAGCAACCAACATGGCGGCCCCCGTGAGCGCACCCAACATGGCAGCTCCATGAGCGCACCCAATATGGCGGCAACATGAGCACACCCAACATGGCGGCCCCCATGAGCACCCAACATGGCGGCCCCCATGAGCACACCCAATATGGAGGCTCCCATGAGCACATCCAATATGGCGGCAACATCACACCCAACATGGTGGCCCCCATGAGCAACCATCATGGCAGCCCCATGAACACACCCAACATGGCGGCCCCGTGAGAAATCAACATGGTGGCCCCCATGAGCACACCCAACATGGCGGCCCTATGAGTGCACCCAACATGGCAGCCATCATGGCACACCCAACATGGCGGCCCCATGAGCAACCAACATCGCGGCCCCTGTGAGCACAGCCAACATGGCAGCCCCATGAGCGCACCCAAAATGGCGGCCCCATGGGCATACCCAACATGGCGGCCCCATGAGCGTAGCCAACATGGCGGCCCCCAACAGCACACCCAACATGGAGGCCCCATGGGGCACACCCAACATGGCGACCATCATGGCACACCCAACATGGCGGCCCCCATGGGCATACCCAACATGGCGGCCCCATGGGGCACACCCAACATGGCGACCATCATGGCACACCCAACATGGAGGCCCCATGAGCACACCCAATATGGCGGCCCCCATGAGCACCATGCCGACCGTAAAGCGGCGGCCCCGCCCCTCTCATTAGACCACGCCCCCAGAGAGCCCCGCCCTGTCAAGCCCCGCCCATTGATTGGCG